TTCTCCCAAAAAATGATTCATTACACTCATTGGCTAGCAACAGCTTCGACAGGATAGCAGTGATGATATATACTTTTCGAAAAAAAATATTTTGTGGAAGCAGAAAATGCTTTGACCTTTTGACCGGTCCATAAAAAGTTTGCTCGATCTAATCCGTAACAGCATCGACAAGTCAAAGCAGAATAAAAGCATAAACAAGTGAGAGAGAAGATTTAAACTAATCACTGTTTGTGTCTTCTCTAACTGTCCTTGCTTTTTGGCTTTGCTTCATGTAATTATATCCACCAAATTAGCATAAAAACGTGTCTCGACAAAGGCAGTCAACTTGGCCGCAAGCAATTAGCTCGCTGCATGTCTAGATTTTCTTCAAAACATTGTGATGACTGCCCGCTGGTCGAATATCTAAACATGTGAAAAGTAATATACCAGGTACGATATTGGTATTTCGGCACTTGCATAACAAAAAATGGAGGGAGAAAATATAAACCTTGAATTATGTAAGTTATGAAGTACAGCCCAGCGCTTTGGGTCAAAAGGGTTGTGAAAGAAAAGATCGCGAAAGGCACCTTTTGTAAAAATGAGTACCCGCTGCCACACATAATCTGAGGCAAGGCAACCTCTTAGAAAAGTGCACAGTGGCACTGCGAATCGAATGCAGTACATCCTGGATTGTAGTTGAACGCTCTGACCGCTCGTCCACTGCTGCAGTGCTTGAGATGAGGGCTTGTCATTGCAGCATTTACCCTATTGCTACTATATCGCAAATGCTTCGAATGACGCCCATTGCAAAACACCGGCGAAACTTGGTCAAAAATGGAAAAAAATAATTAGAACGTGTTCCCCAAGGTTACTAAAAGGTTGATTGATTGATTTGTATGTGGGGTTTAACGTCCCAAAACCACCATGTGATTATGAGAGACGCGTAGTGGAGGGCTCCGGAAATTTCGACCATCTGGGGTTCTTTAACGTGAACCCAACTGAGCACACGGGCCTACAACATTTCTGCGTCCAATGCTGCAGCCGGGATTGGATCACGTTACTAAAAGGTATAAACCGCGAAGTGTGGCTGTGTAACGATGCACTATTTAGGTTGTACAGTACTGTCATACTGTTGGAATGCCCGGCTCTAACATAGGCTACGTTCCCATATTTTACCAAATATAAATAAAAAATAAATCATATTGGCACATTACAATGCTAACCAACTATTCTGAATTCACTGTCACTTTCACTAAATGAATACACAGTTTCCATTATCATTATTTCGGAAGATTTCGCTCCATAACTCACAAATCTCCTACTTAGCATTGATTCTCACATCTCCTCACAAGTGTTCCAGCACAAATATTTTGGTGTATACTACACTGCAAAATTATCCTGGCATCGTCATATCGAGTATGCTACACGCAAGGCTTCAAGTGTTCAAAGCTTTCTTAGAAGAAATGCAAAAAGTTTGCCACTTGCAGCAAAAGAGCTCTTGTATAAAAACAATGTGAGACCAATACTTGAATACGCTTGTTGAATCTGGAATCCTTGGCAGCAGGAGGACATTAAAAGGATTGAAAGAATACAAAATTTAGCTGTGAGATTTGTTCATGCCAATTATTCCTGCCACTTTAGCCTATCCAGTGCAAAGGAAAGCCTTGGATGGGAGTCTCTGCAGCAACATTGGCAATACTTACGGTTAAAATTTTTTCATAGTATATTTCATTGTAACACTGACATTAATAGGGATCGTTATTTGTATATTCCTAATTACGTATCACCCCACCTTGATCATGCCTATAGTATTTAGGAGATAAGATGCTGGACGAACTACTTCAGGATGGCTTTTCCCCCCGAACAATTTCTGGGTGGAATAAGCTGCCTCAAGAAAGACATAGCCATCATTATATCCCCTGATGTATTTGCTTCCTCTCTGCGGGATACGTATCATCAATAGTCCTAGTTATTCCCTGTGATGTACTTACTTTTGTGCTTTGTACTAAATGTATTGGCTGTCGTTGCTTTTTTTGTGTGTAAATGGCTACTTACCGTTGTATCTGTACAAAGTAATTTTATTATGGCTATGCTGGTATTTCCCTCCCTCCCCCCCCCCACTGTAATGCCGAAATGCGCTGTGGGTATTGTAACAAATAAAAAAATAAAAAAATAACTTACTCTGTTTGGAAGTGCAGTGAAAGTAACGTTCAATCTTTAGAAAATTGTGTCCTGCATAGCACGTACTACTGTCAAACCTCAATTTAACAAACACTGATGTAGCGAAATATTGGTTATAACAAAGTGAGTGAATAGACTTGCAATATATACTGTGTAAGGAATAACTTTTATAATGAATTCTCAGATGTAGTGAACTTATTTTCTTGTAAGATGCAACTTTGTTATAATGGGCATTGAGTGTATCACAGCAATATTGCGTGGTAAAAGCGTACCTTGCCATCGATCGTCAGAACAATGTAATTACTATAATGACTTCCTATTTTAAAAAGCTGGCCAGCTATTACAGAAGGCACAGGCATGTATTTCCTTAAGACCACATGATGAGTTCGTAGCAAGTTTGAGAGCATATCACGCACATTGTTGTTGGTGGTTTAAAGCATGCTGCCTATTACACAAAATGCAACCATACGCGAAAGCTTCACTGACACAAGTCCCTTTCAACTTTATCGATTACGTTTTAGTAATTCACAATTTAAGCTTCTCGAGTAACATCGTACAATAAAAAGTATGCTCTAAGTGGTTAAAGTACGCACCAGCACAGGATGTCGGTATCGCGTTGAACTTCTAAAGGTGTAGTTTAGGGGTCCCGCAATGTTTTCAGCTTGTATTACTTTTTAAGGGAGAAAGACACATGATTTTGCACCTAATAGTATTGTAAACTTTATGATGCATTTGTTGCACCAACTCATTATGAAACTTTAGTGTAATGGTAACATTTTTTTGTCATGCTCATTGCACATTTCTGTATATATAACCCAATAATTAGTAGAATATCAGGAAAAACTTAGCCTGGTAGTTTCACACTCTGGATTAAAAAAAATATATAGTGCCTCAGACTGAGCTCTGAAGCATGCCAGGTAGTGACAGATAATAATCATTAACTTTAATATATTCATGCAGACGCAGCTCTTTTGGAATATCTTGCCAGCACCCTGAGTTGATAATTTTTTTTAAATCTTAATAATGATAATTATAATGGTTTATTTCCACCAATACACAGTTGATAGAGGGGGGTGAGAATAAAAGTGACTATGCGCTTGACTAAGTTCTCACCTCCCTATTTACGTAAGGCAGTGGCGATGGGAGCAACAGAACACCACAGCTGATAAAAGTACACTACATTAACAAAATTAAGTATTATAAAGCTGTAAAACTCGCTGTAGACGGTTGCACTGACAAAAAACTTAAATTAACAAAAAATACACGCACAGTGCAATAAACATATATAGAAATGTAAATCAAATGTCACAATATGTTGACCACAAATACATTAAACATATGATTTACATGCAGCGGTGATTGTTTTCTTATGTTTTTGTTTATTTTTTTTGTCTAAAAGCTACTAACTTTGAAATAAGGTCTTAATTGTCAGGAGCATTTATAAGATCTTGGCAAAGTTAAGAAAGGGTGATATGTGCTATGTTGACGTCTAATGAATATAACCTGTTTAAATGTAACAGTAGCTGATAAGGAATTTCTGTTGTCCATAGTTCTTGTATGAGGAAACATGCAAGGTGGCTGATGGCGGTGTGGGTATTTTGGTTGATAATGTTTTATGGAAGCGATATCTGTTATAGTAGATAAAAAATTTTTTCCGTTCGATCTTATAGTGGCGTAAAAGCCTGTAAATGTATAGGTTGCAAATATTGAAGATTTCATGTTCGCTAAACAAGTGATCTGTTGTATGTCTGCAAGGAAGGTTATAAATTAGACGGAGGATTTTAATATGAAAATAAATTTTTTGTAAATTAGATTTAGTCATCGTTACCCACAATAACATGCAGTAGTTCAAATGTGAAAGGAATAAAGCGTGGTATATAGCAAGCTTTGCCTTTAAAGCTAAAACAGATTCATGTTGCCAAAGTATACCAACCACTCTTGAAGCTTTTAACAAAATTTTCTGGAGATGATTATTCCTTTGCAAATTCTGTGTGAAATAAACTCCTAGTGATTTTATTGACCTAAAAATTTCAACTGGCTGGCATGTATACCACAAATGTACTAAAGTATCAGATCTTTTATTTAGGGAATTAAAAATTACAGCTTTAGTTTCATTTATGTTAACTGACAGCGCATTTTTTTTGTCTAAAGTTCTAGCTTACCTAAAACATTATTACCGCGGGAAAATCTTGGTGTCATTTTCTCAGTTAGGGAAGCATCTGCTTCACATCTGTGGCCATATTTGTTTCGACCTTGTGGTTACGCATGGCACTTGATGTATCCCTCCTTTCTTCCTGTGAGTCTCACTTGAAATTGAGCCTTCTTCGTGGTGTGACAAAAAAGGCTACTTTGAGCAACTCAAATCTCATTATAAGGGACAAGCCGGTATAGTTAGAGACACCAGTATGCCTGCATTTAAATAGGGTTGACAAAAAAAAATGCTTGGTACCCTGCTTATGAGAAGGCACCTCATATAAGAGACAAGAATCGCTCCCTAGAGCATGTCTCTTATAAATGTCTTTCTGCTGCTGCTGCTGCTGCTGCTGCTGTATGGCCCAAACAGGCAATGTTTGCCTTCTCCTTAGACAATTTGAGGGATTGTTCTTAAACTAATAAAGGAAAGGGGTTCAAACGGAGCACTGTGTAGAGTGTCTGCGCACACCTGTGTTTCTTATTCACAGTGGTATCATGTAGTGTGGCTGTAATTCTGCTGTGTTTGCAGCTTCAACTACTGGCAAAAGAGTGAGAAATACATTTCAGTGTAGGTAGTCAAAGCATTCCTCATGAACATTGATTTAGAACATTTAGTTCTGGTTAGTGATTTGATCCGGTGCTTACAGGTACAGCAATGACGAGCCCAGCCGAGGTGGCATCGGAGGAGCGCCTGTCGACTCCTAATCGAAGCCCACCACGTCGCCCACCCGTCACACAGCTAGAATTCAGACAGGTGGGATTTTAGGGCGCCCTTTAAAGGAGCACTTGCATCAAATTCACTCATGTCAAGATTTTTGCCTCAACGAGTCGCTATCGACCCCCTAGTAGCGATTTGCGACCTAAAACGCATATGAAGTACGAATAAATATCTGTAATATTGATTAATAAATCCGCTATCGAACGTGGTTCAAAATGGGTCGAAAGCCCGCCAAGTTGTAGTGCTGTCAGCGCTACCTCGCGGCCACGTCGAGGCTGCTGCTCAGCTGATGCTGCTTTCACAAAAAATGGTGACGTCACGCACACTGGCATTTTGTCTGCTAGGAGCACACGTGCAGTCAGTCCAGCTGTGTTTCTGATGATGTAGACTAAAGCCCCTCCAAGCCTTTTCCGCTGGCTTTGTCAAGTAGCGCCAACTCATTCTTCCCCTCTCCCTTTAGCCCCGGCCTCGAGAAGGGGCCTCGTACAGCCAGTGAAACCCAACTCGTTCGCCAACACAGGATTTACTCTACAGCAGCTCGGCGCAAAGTGAAGCGAGCGAATGCGGCTGTTATTCTTAGGCATCCAGTCCCTCTGGTCCCTCTGTTCATCGGCACATGTGAAGTCAACCCACTGGCTGCATAGAGGTTCGTGGCCTGGAAAGGCATGAAATGACACGCAATTTCTGCTTTTTCTGCGCCTTGTCGGGCAGGTTCTCAATGCGCAGCAGTTCCCCGACACTCTGGCTCATATTGTCACTCTGAATGATCGTACTCACACTGCGGAGCATATGTCAAATAAGTTCACGCGATACAATGAATTGCACATACGCTTCAACACAGCAAGGAGAGCCAATAGTGAGAGCATGGCCGGGAGTCGGCTCCAAACACACTCAGATCGTTGACGTCATTGTTACTAGCGTATCGTCACTCAGGATGGTATTTGTGGAACGTATCACACCGAACATGTAGCACTAGTGTCGATGTTACAGGGCTGTCTATTTTCCGTTTTTTTGCCCTAGCTTTTCTATGCTGTTTGACATCTAATTAAAAAAACTTCCACGCGACGGATGCCATTCAAATTTGGCCAAGTAGACCTCTGCATACCAAGCTATCGAATGGTGGGCACATCTCGATCTTGAAATTTGATGTCAGTGCTCCTTGAAACCCGTATGCACGTGTGTGAAACAATTGCGTGAGCGAATTGTGATTGAGCTAGCCTTCCATAAAAGGTTCTTTTTAAATGTTCACATCATTTCATAAAAGCATCTTCAGGTGCCAGCTGCTGGGAACAAGTAGCAGTAATCGCGCAAAAAACAATGTTCCTCAAGCTGTCCATCAGGGCATAACTTCGCCTTGAATGCCTAAAAGTGTTTCAGTTATTTGGTTTGCCTCGTTCCTGTGGAACTTTTGTTCTGCTGCGAGCCACCAACATTTTATCAGTTCAGTGGTCATTTTGACATCCACATTTCCAAACACCGGCTCTGTGGAGTTTTTGCAAAAAGGGTGTTGTAGGTAGAATGTGGCCGTGTAGGTACGAATTCTAGACCTGGGCAAAGTGTTGTATACACAAATGCCATAATCTTAGCAGAAGCAAATATTCTGGTTTTGAAAGCTCCGATGATGAATGTGTTAAATCACAGCTGTCAAGTGCAGGTGCCTTGTGTGTTGATGATAGTGGTATCATGGTCCCTATAAAGGGAACACAAAATGTCAATGGAGGGGAGCACGAAAACTGCTTTATAAACAAAACAAACAATTTTAAGGACACATTGTACATTTCAAAGTGCTTGGCGAAAGCCTGGGGTCATCCGACTGACTATGCAATGTTTCTTTGTGCGCGCGTACAAGCATGACACTACCTGTACAATTGCACTTTACTTTCAATGTCTATCCTTGCCACCTCGATTCTCTGTGTATCTATTTTGTCATGCTGGTCTTTTCGTGGGGCCAAAAAAAATTTTCGTTTTTTGCTATGCTCCACTGTGCCATCATGTGGTTGCTCAGAGAGCGTAAGGGAAAGAGGCCTAAACTGGCACTGTTCCAGGGCTTCGATGCATGGACAGATGCCGCGAGTATAAGCCATTAGAGGCTGTCACGTTAAAAGTGTAAAGCTTGCACTTGTTGCGTGAGGCTGGAACCATCAACAGGATCAGTGTTTGAAATAGCCAAGTACTAACCCCAGTGCGTGTATATACTTTTTTGCGACAAATAAAGATTTTTTTATTTGATTTGCCAGTAATGGCAAGCTTTTGCTTGAAATTCAAAGTTTTTCCTAATTAATAGTACTGCTAAGTAACGTAGAACTTGAAAAGATGTGTCACGTGACTTCGTGTTATGTTATTATATTGTGTTTTTATACACGTGGCCTGCTTTTACACGTTTTTTTAGTGTAAACACATCATGACATTAGCAGTTAGCATTAGCATTAGTTATGCAGTTTATGGTGGCAACATCTGATGTGGCTAGCTATGATGTGATGTCACTGAATTTTTGTGTCATGGCTAAATATTACTGATTTTCAGTCAAATGACATGATATACAAGATCTTTAGTTGTGCAAATAGTTGTTGCACGATGTTACATGATTTTTAGTCCCTGAACAAACTGTCCCAATATGGTTGTTTTAAGTGCAGAGTACTTAAAACTGGGCTTTTGTATGCTGTTGTCTCATCATTTGGCTTATGCAGACAAAACCGTGTATGGCGTAGCCATCTGTATCAAAGCCACGAATAGCAAGGCGGCAAGAAAGGGAAGTGGACGGAGGAGGAACAGAATATGCTGCCGTATTTGGCCACTTGGCATCATGCACGCAAGGCAATACATAGGATATTCATGTGCAGGAAGAGGTTAGGCTGAAGAGTCCTGTCAGAGTGACGAGGGAAAGCAATAAGTAAGGAGAAAAAAACGGCAATATGCCATCATCATATTTTGCCGCTTGGCCTCAGACATGCAAAACAGTGTATAGCATATTAATGAGAACTTACTGGCAATAATGCCAGGGAAAGTATTCGGGTTGTTATTAAAAGTAACTGCAATGCAAACGTGAAGAAAGAAAAGTAGATAAAAGTTAAATTGCCACAATCAAGATCTGACCCTGCAATTTTCGAATAGCACGTCCGATGTTCTACCTCTGAGCTACAATGGTGGTTATCTCCCCGTCCACTCTAAAAGGTATATATGTGCATTTAAAGGTAGAAGCGTCAGTCAATGCTGTTCATTCATGGCGACTGTCTTGTTTTGGCATACTTGATGCCTTGAGGTGGTATGTGAGGAGATATTGGTCAGCTGCCATCTAGTATTAAGATCACATACTACATGATGTCAAACAGGCAAGAAAGAGTGTTTCATTCTTGCCTTAGTGGCTACAGGTAGTGCTGTCTGATGCTTCCATGTTTAAATGCACATCCATACCCAATAAAGTGGACGAGAGGATGACAGCTACTGTAGCTCAGGGGTAGAGCATCGGACCTGTTGTTCCAAGGTCACAGGTTCAGTCTCTGCCGGTGGATAGTTATCTTTTCATCTACTTCTCTTTTTCACAATGCAGTTACTTCTAACAGCATCCCCTATATTTTCCCTAGTGTTATTGTCTGTTTGTACTCATTAATATTGCATCTAACAAAGAAAACGAGCCCTTAAATTTACAGGCTTCTTCATTCATGCATGGCATAGTCAATGTATAGGAAGGGGGCAAGGAGGAGGAAGAAAAAAGGGTTCGTATTTTGCCACTTGGCATCACATTGACAAGGCACGAAATGATACCACTAATGGAGAGACGCAGATGGCCGCACGTACTATCCACTGAACTTTTATTAGTTGATCCCCAAATTTCATGGCGTCTCCCACCAGGTGAGAACAGCGGCTGCCCAAGCGGGATGTAAGAGTGGTTTACTCGACATCCATTCAACTAAGCTCTCTGTGCGAGTATCTGAATGCATTTAGTTGTGAGGTACCCAAGTGTCAGAAGAATCAGGCAACTCACTTTGTTGCCCCGCTGCGGTGGTTTAGTGGCTAAGGTACTGGGCTGCTGACCCGCAGGTCGCGGGATCGAATCCCGGCTGCGGCGGCTGCATTTTCGATGGAGGCGAAAATGTTGTAGGCCCGTGTGCTCAGATTCAGGTGCACGTTAAAAAACCCCAGGTGGTCGAAATTTCCGGTGCCCTCTACTACGGCGTCTCTCATAATCATATTGTGGTTTTGGGACATTAAACCCCACAAATCAATCAATCAACTCACTTTGTTCTCTGCAAAACAGGAATGGTGTATGATAGTTCGACATGCTGTAAGGATTTTTACATTCACCAGTTAAGGTCGATGTGTGCCACAGCCTATGTGAACACGCTGACAATCTTGGAATGTAGACCGGTATCAATAAGGCAATTCATTGGGCTATATGTAGCTATAGCCCCTATTTTCAGCAGATGTTCATTGTTCATAGATACTGAGATTACTGTGCTCGAAAAATCTATGATCCCTCAGTAATGTATAACATGGGGTCACCATGTGTCAGTTATTCTTTGATGGTGTTAAATGACAAAGATAGTAGCTATATGCACCATTAAGTTTATGATCTGTGTAAAGTAGGGCACATGGCTGTTTTCGATATTCCTTCTCCTTTTCTCATGTGAACAACATAGTTTATAGTTCTTTGTGCAGTGGGAATTGTTTTGCATTCGATCGGATGAGCACAGGAGTTTAAGACAGAGTAAATGGAAGGAGTGCCAACTATCTGTTGCGGACGATTGCAGCTGCGCGCCAATAAACAGAAGGACAGAGAAGAAGGAAGTAGTGAGCACGAGCGATAGAATAAATGATGGACGTCTTGGTCTAGGGCTCGGGTCTTTGTTTTACGCGACATCATTTCTGGTGCCGAAATCTTCCGGTCATCATCCTTCCAAGACTTCCAGCTTCAATGCCATCATTGAAGCGTCTGCGTAAGAACCGTGACATTGTGAGGCACAACACTACTGGCTGCAAAGGGTCCAAGAAGAAATGTTCCCCGAAGAAGTGCAGGCCCTTCGCACAGAAAAAGATCT